CCAGTAATTTATTATTAAAATGTAAATGTTGCCTGCTTTATCTATCTATCTATCTATCTATGCATCTATCTATCTGTTTATTAAGTTGATCTGGTACAAATCTGCTTTGCAGTCTGAAAAGCAGCCAGTTTTGTATTAATTACTCTTGTCTATACTTGACCTCTTCTCTGGCACCATACAAGACTATTTCATTTGTCTGTAGGTTCTGTTCCTTTTGAGAATGATCTGATGGTTCAAAGCCATTCCTGTTCTACTCTTCAGCTTTTATGTAACTCTTCAACTAGTTCTTTGCCCCAGATTTAGACTACAATTATTTCTGTGTTAGTATTGCCAAAAATATCTTTGCACAATTAGAAATTGTACATAACAGTTGGTTTCCTCCAAAGAGGGATGCTATGTATGTGAAATTGTGAAGTTGTTTGGACTGCTTCTTATTTGATGTGTGAGTAGTTTATTCAGTAAGCAATTATTGAGTCTTTCACAAATTAGAAATGTTATACCTATTAAGGTATAAGAATGTACAAGCAGCAGTTTTTGTGCTTGGTTTCATAGAACACTTGCTGGTGAAATCTGTTGTTCTGTACTTGCTATGTAGGCAGCATGTGGGATAGTAAATTGTGAGACTAATTTAAAGTAAGATTTTTGATGACATTTTTTCAAATTATGGAAATACTTATTTTAATTGGTTTTGGTCATGGACCTGCTTCATTTGAAAAGTAAATGAAAGCAGCTTGCAGAACCAAGCATTGTTTTAGCTCTTGCTTGTATGTATTTGAACTTTGATACCCCTACTCAGTTTCTTCGAAGTCCCATACATGCAATTGATCTGTTAAGCACTTGGAGTTTTTTGAAGACATTTGGACATGAAGAAGCAACAAGTTGTCTCTCTGTTTCCAAATTTGAAAGTTGTCTTCAAAGAAAAACATCAGTATAGTTCAGTGTTTCTTACTAAGTTACAGTTTGTGCCATGAAGGATGTAACAGGGTTAGTTTTGTGCCTGAACTGAGTTAACTGAATTCCCAGAGTGCTGTCATACATGCATACAATCCATGCTGGATTAAACTAAGTAACTTCTTTGGATTCCACTAATAGCTGTCAAAGTGTTGAGATGTGAAGATAAAGCCTAATTACTGTGAGAGAGAGGACTTCTCAGATTTTTGTACAGTCAGTAGGGGAAACCTAGTTCTTCTGTCTCCTTGTTAAGTTGTGCTGAATAAATTGGACATCTTTTGCTTTCAAACTTGGTTGGTTTACAGAATGAAGCATAAGGATCTACCTTTCTGGCAAGCAGGTATAATAAGAGTATTAGACTTAGGTGATGTTACACTGAATTATGTCAATGAAAGTTTTTAAGAAGATGCAGTGCTTTAAATGACGTTTTCATCAGATATGTTGTCCTCTGATTTTTCTCAATAGGGAGCTCCTGTGGTATCACAGAGGGCACCAAGTGCCAAGAGAGATGAAAATACTCATCAGTTATTCAAGCCTTATTCTACTGAAGTGGAGATGACTTAATAGTTAACTAAGTTTCATTTAAAACTAAGCAGTCAAAAAATCTCTACCATTCTTTCAAATCTGGAACTGGTACTCTGCTACTTTTCTGGTTAGAGCAACTCTGCCATCTCTTTTTTTATATCATTTGTCATTATTCCATTTTTTAATTGCTCATATTTATTTTTATATTACTGTCTGAGCCAGTAAGGCTCTCAGCATTTATTGGCAGTAGTGAAATTGCAATCAAATATCACACTGATGTAGTACCAGAAATAATAATTAGTATTCTTTACTAAATGATAGAGGAATATACATATAAGACTGTCTAAATTTGGACAGTATTTGGTTGTGGCAGTATGACTATCTTTGACATGTTTTATGTATCTCCCACATGAAATATTTAATGCTGCTTGCTCCTGAGTAATATTTTCTAATACAGTTCTCATTTTGCTGTTAAAGAACTTATTCACACTGGTGCAAAGGAAAGGACACTTTTTTTTAATCAGTGCAGCTTTGCATCTATAAGAAAACCTGGCTGAGCTCTGCGTTCTGGAATGCAAAAATTGTCAATTTCTTTTCAGTGTGGGACAGTGAGTAAGGTGTCATTTTCAGACTTATTTTGAAGTACTATTATCAAGCTGCAGACATTTTAGTATGAAGTAAAAGCAGATATATAAAAACAAACAAACAAACAAACAAAAAAAAAACATCAAAACACTCTTCCCAATAAAAAGAACAGAAAAATAAAGGAAACAGCAGCAGCAAAGAAAAAACTGTTTCTATTTTGCAGTTGACAAGGTAGGTAAAATAGGAGACTGCATCTTCCAGAAGCTCATAGTTAATGCTATGTACACTGCAATGAATTGCTTGGTTTTTTTTGTACGTGTTTTGAATGTTTATGGTTGTGTTACTAAAAGAACTTTTATGAGAATTCTAGGTGTTTGATGTGATTTAGTACTAACACGTAGTGGAAGATGGACACGCAACTCAGGAAAAACTGAGTCAGTTATATATTACATAATAAATAATTATGATCTAATAACCAGACCTGACACTGACCCACTCTGTTAATCAAACATGTTAAATGTTTAAACAGAAAGTGCTTCACAAGGTGATGTAATTACCTCTGTCTCTAGAAAGGTGATGGAACAGCTTGTTCTGGATATCTTCTCCAAGCAATTGGAACGGAAGTTTGTCAGGAGTAATCAACGTGGATTCACCAAGGGGAGATCATGCTGGACCAACCTGGTAGCCTTCTATGGCTGGTGGGGGGAGAGCAATGGATATTCTGTACCTTGCTTTAGCAAGGCATTTGACACAGTGTCTCCACAACATCCTTGTTAGGAAACTTAGAAAGTGTGGGACAGATGGATGGATGGTGGGTGGATTGAGAACTGGCTGACTGGCAGAGCTCAGGGTTGCCATCAGCGGCGCTGTCTGGTTGGTGACCTGTAACTAGCAGTGTTCCCAGGGGTCAGTGCTGGATCTGGTCTTGTTCAACATCTTCATCACTTCTGTGGCAGCTCAGAATCTGAGGGCTATTGCTGCTCGGTATACTGTATGTTTGTCAAAACCATGCCTTTTACTTGGACATCAGGAGAGAGCGTAAACCAGTCTTAGGCCGAAGTTGGCAGTTGCTTTGTTCCATAGCAGTGTAACTGTACAGTGCAGGAGCTTCTGTTGGTGATAAGTCGTGCTGTGTATTGGAGGAAAGGAATTCTATCACATCAATTGTGGTGCTGGGGAGGCTGTGGGACAACTCTTATCTGACGAATAGTTCAGAGCTGGATTCAGCCTACTATGATGTTACATATTTCATTTAACCTACTAGGCAGAAATGGCCTCCAGTTGCGTCAAGGTAGTTTTAGGAAACACTTCTTTACAGAAAGAGTGGTTAAACATTGGAATGGGCTCCCCAGGGAGGTGGTTGAGTCAGCGTCCCTGGATGTGTTTAAGAGCCGTTTGGATGTGGTACTCGGAGATATGATTTAGCAGAGGGTTATTAGAGCTAGGGTACTATGGTTAGGATGCGGTTGGACTTGATGATCCTTGAGGTCCCTTCCAACCTGAGTAATTCTATGATTCTGTGATTCCAAATGGATTCATTACACAGTAGTGAAAGTACAAAATATTTTATTAGTCTTCTATTTAAGTTGGAACACACCTCTAGAAGTCATCAGTTTCAGTCCTTGGCTCAAAATCGAGTGAGCATCAGAATTATGTAAGATTGCTCAGAGCCTTATCCCATTGCATCTTGAAGATCTGCAAGACTAAGTTTCTACTTCCTGTACAGACACTATGTTCCAGTGCTTAACAACTTCCCCTGGGATAGTCCCATTTTCACAACACCCTATCCACATCTCTAGAGTAACATATGCTCCTTCTATTTGCTACATGTCTTTTTGTTGTTGAGAAGTTTGGTTCTATATTCAACTGTCTTAAGTGGCTTTATGGAGAAGAAAGCAATTACATCCCTCCAGCAGTCTTTTCAAGATTAAATAGTCCTCTTCTTGTAGCTTACCCTTTAGTGCCATACAAACCAGTTCCTTATTCGTGTAAGTGGCATGCTACTGTTTTTGTCTTGCTAATTTCATTTTTGGAATGCTGAGGGGAAGAACACAAGGTGCTGAGATACAGCCTCATGGATACATACAGCTCAGTTGTCTAACTTCTTGAGGATCCTTTAAACAAGCAAACACCTTTGCTCTTTCAACACTTAGACTGCTTCCTGGCCTCTAGAACTGATATTGCCTTAATTTAATGACTTAATGCAGATGTATTCCATCCTGATGTTCAGGTCAACAATGAAGATGTTAAATAGTGTTAAACAAATACTGGCTTCCGAAGATTACCTCTTGTAACTAGCTTGCATCTACCCTTACATTTAGATGGGCCATCTAGACGATGTTTTAGACATCTTGAAATCATTCTTTATTCAATGTGGTACAAAGAATACTACAGCGATATTGAAGACCTTGCTAGAGGCACAGTAAATTACATAATTGTTGTTCTACATCCATGGAGCCAGCTGTTTCCACATTAAAGCATTACCAAGTAACTTAGAGTTGGTAAATCCTTCCTTGTTTTTGCCAGTCACATTCTTGTCCTTTAAGGACCTGGAAATGGCTCCCAGGAATATTTGCTCTATCAATTAGTCTGAGGAACAAGGTGAAGCTGGCAGCCCCCCCCCCCCCCGTTTTTTTTTTTTTTTTTTAGTATGCTTTTAGGCAATCTTTATGCTTTTAGAAACGCCATCAGGTTGTCTGAAGTTTATTGCTCTCATGCACAAAAAGAACAGCTTTGCAGGGTTGAGTGATTTCTTGTCAAAATACCTCAATTTTGAAACTTAGCTAGAAGCATTTAGGTCTTTATGTTAAAATAATTTGTAATGTGTTTGGAACAATTGAAGTTCTTTGTATTGGTTAGGTATTTGAAGTGTAGAAACAAAAATTGCATGTGTTCTCAAAGATGAGCAAAAATGTAATGAATTTCCATTTATTTTTCAGGAGCTGGTGAATCAGGGAAAAGCACAATTGTCAAACAAATGAAGTAAGTATAGTAAAATACAATCATAGAGAGAGATTTTTTTAATTTGAATAGAGAATTTATTTTCTTTTCCTTCCGTAGAATTATCCATGAAGCCGGTTATTCAGAAGAAGAATGTAAACAGTACAAAGCTGTTGTCTACAGTAACACCATTCAGTCAATTATTGCTATCATTAGAGCAATGGGAAGGTTGAAGATAGACTTCGGTGATCCAACCAGGGCTGTGAGTATTGAAGTAAACATGCACATGTACAGCTGAAATATCCATTCTTTTTCAATTTCTGTCCATTGTTACTTCCTGGAAAATCTCTTCATATCCAACAGGCCTTGTAAGCTAGGTTTGATAAAGAAGAAATTTCGTTTAGTTTCCTACATGAAGTAGAAGTGCTCTATTGAGCAATTAACTCTGGGTTGTATTTTGTTTAGATACAATCCTCCAAATTCTATGTAAATCTGAATCTTAGGGATTTTTTGAAAAATAGTAGGCTTTGTAGTCGTACTTCTTAATTTTTACTTGTGGGCTGCTATAAGTCCTTCAAGATGGACATCTTTGCTTTCCTTAACAAAACACAGATTAAACAGGTACGCATGTAGCTGTTCTCTGCACTTCAGGATTGCGTCACAGACACAGTAGTGCCTAAAACGTTCTCACCTGTGGTTTCATACTGACTACTAGTGCGGATGACTTTACTGTACTCTAAGGCACGGGCATTGTGCTGCTGCTGGGGCTCAGTTTTTTTCATTATAGCACATGAATTAAGGATTTTTCCCAAAAAAATAGTTACCCATTTCCAGGCTTTCTTGTACAGTTTTCATCTCTTTTCATCCATTTATTGGAGGCGGTCTGCAGAACTTTTTGCTTATCACTTCACAGTTCCAAACCCTGTATTCTTATTGGTGGTGAACCTGATCACCCTATCAGATCAGGAGGATAGATGCTGTTTGTAAAATGTAGATATGTTTATGTACATATGTTAATTCTGTCTGAAATCTGCTTAATTGTAAATCAACTATGTAGATCACTCTGAAAGTAATGCCTCCCACTTATTTCCATGGAAACTACAACAGATACAAAGAGCACAATAACACTGTTTGATAGAGCAAATTCTCATTTACTAAACACTACTTTTCAACAGTCACCACCATGAGTTGTGCTTTTTTGTCAGCAGTGAACAAGAGGCTACATTCCACACTTGTAAAAATCTGCATGGTTGTTTGTAACATGGATTGCCTTTCACGTCTGTCATCACTGCTGAAATGCACCACCTACTGCCTGCCTTACTGTACTCATATTCACTGTTTGGTCTCCATAGATGTTCAGCAAGCATCAATGAATGTCTGTGAGAAATTTAGTCACACACCTTTTCTTCATACACACTTCCATGTCAGACTTCCTCTCTGCTACCATCTGTCTCATGGCAACAAAATGTAACGGGATGTGGGTGTGGAAAGTTCAGCCTCTACTGCCATACCATCACCATCCACCTCTCACATAGTGGGCCAATATACTAAAATAGGAGGCGTTAGTTTTGGAGTAGTCTTCTCGCTTTGTTTTCATGCTTTCTGTTGTCTTACCTTCAGACTAAAGATTTTCAGGGCAGGAGCAGGATGTGAATACGTTTTAGTTCATCTGTATAGTGAATTCCTCTTGGATGTCTGACAGTTAATGTTGGAAAAAGGTGGATGGTGTATTTCTGTTACTAAATACTAAATAAAATAAAATGAAGGAGAGAGTAAGTGTAGATTCTCTCAGATAGAAGGACTGACAAGAAGATTGTGAAAATGTTCTATGTGTGATATGAATTCAAACTGATTGGAATATTTCAACTTCAGAGAACTGTATAACTGAAGGCGAACTTCAGTCAGGGATAATAATGAAATAACTGGCTATTCCCTAGCATTTAAGCAGATCTTGGTGATCTGAATTCTTTTTGCAGAGCATCATTGCTATTGAAAGTAATTATTAGACTTGAAATAATTTCAAAATGAGAAATCAAAAAAGGAATCAAAAGCTTGTGAGTTACAAGTTTGCCTTTCTAGAAGATATATGAATGTTCTTCATTGTATTAAATGTAGGCTTTTAAATTTTATTTGATTCCATTATCATTTCTACAGAAGAAAAAATGCAAAATTGCAGTGTCGTGAGGAAAGCTGTTATACAGACTCTTCCTTAGTTTTTTGAATTGAAATTTTGGAGATTTTACTCTGAATAAGATAAATATGTTTGGACAAATGACTGCTCTTCTGTTGTCAGAATAGTTGAATGTTTTCTTTTGTGAAACTACTGAATCAGGAAAGCACAAGTTCTACCAGGAGCTTCGGTAATGCTCCATCCTAGGATTAGCATACTTTTCTTTATCCTACAGAATATTTCCATACTGTTCCAGAATCCATATTTTGAGAGACATTTAGTGAATATGGTTTACATGAGAATGGACTACCTTCAGTCCATTGACATTTGCTGCATTTATCTTCAGAAAAGGCTAAATGAGTTTCTGTAAGGTAGCTCATTTGTGGAATCTTATATAAAAACAGTGAGTCCTTGAGAGGAAGCAACCCTATTGCAGTATAATTAAAGGAAAGCATCTGGCATTCGTTAATAATGAAAATAGGACTCAATTATTATGTACTCCCTCATTTGTGGCATCTGTGTACTTGCCTTCTGTAGAAAAGGGATATGGGGGTTAACAGATGCCACCTAGCAGAACTTAATTCACTTCCTGCCCCTTCTTGTTACTACCTCTTACACCCTCCCAATAAAAACAAATGCAGTCTTAGAGCAGGTAGAGGTTAGAGCTATTTCAAAAAGAATGAGTTTTGTATATTTGAAAGTCAGACTATAGCAGATGTGAAATGACATTTTGAGAGTTCGTGACAAGACAGACTCACAGTTTCTAGTATGTATCTGCTGCTTCTGTTAATTGTATATTGGCGTTTTCATCCAGAAACATTCAGTTGCCATTCAGGCTTCTTCTATGCAAGCATATTGCTTAAGCTACAGTCAGTGAGATCTAATTATCCTGCTTTTTGATCTTCACTGCTCTGTTTTTTATCTGATTATTAGTGCAATCTACTGAACTTTTACTAGCTCCCATGGTTTGCCCAATGTATATATTGTAATCAGCATACTATTCTTAAGTTTGATAAATCTACATTTTTAGATTTGTAGCTTTCAATAGATGATATATCACTTAGCTGTTTGTTCATATGTATGGCTACATGTGTATTGTTATGGTTTAACCCAGGAGCTAATCACCAAACAGCCATTCACTCAGTCCTCTACCTCCTGTGAGATGAGGTATAGAATTAAAAAAAAACACAAACACAAAATGGAACTCTTGGGTTGAGATGAAACCTGAGACAGAAAAAGATGAGAAATTATTTCTACATGTATATGCACACACACACGTATTTACAAAACAAGTCATGTGCAGTGCAGTTGCTGATTACCTGCAGATCAGTCAGTGTCCAGCTGGTCCACAAGTAGAGGCTGTCTCTTTTGGCCAGGCTAGATTCTCACAGTTATGTAGGACTTTTTGCCTGATGGTATGGAATATCCATTTGGCCATTTTAGTTCCCTCCCAGCTCTTTTGCTGGGCTTTATGAGAAGCCTAAAGGTCCTTGGCTCTGTGCAGCACTGCTCAGCAGCAACTAAAACATTGGTGTGTTATCAATGTTTTTTTCCTAACGTCAAAATGTAACACCAGACTCTATGAGGAAAGCCAACTCTTTCTGCAGAAACCATGATGTGTACACACAGATAGATAAATATCTTCAAATCTGCCTTGAGTTGACTATAGAGCAAACTTTCTAAGTTGAGAATATTTAAGCCTAAAGTGTTCAGTCTCTTCAGAAGAATCATTACTTTCCATGCTTATCCTAAAATGTTATCTTCACGTAACAGGAAAAGTGATTGAACCTTTTTTCCTACAGATTTGCGTTGTATCTTCACTTACTGTTCTGTGAGAATAACTTTACAACTTGCAGTTTGAATCCTCTTCATTCTTGAAATATTTTCAGTTCCTAGTTGATGTACCTAAGCCCCTCTGTTTCCCCTGTCCTCCATTCTAGTATCGTCTCCCCTTTCTTTCATTTAGTGAACAAACAGGACATGTGGTTAGTAGTTACAAACCACAAGTATGCTTATTTTGCTGACTGACATACCTTGTCAGTGTATCACATACAGCTGGTAGCTAATGTCAGTCAGCTGCCTTCTGGGGAGTACTGGCATGCAAATCTGTTTCTTCTGTCCAGCTGCTATGTTCTTTTTCCAATACCTTACAGATTTAATATTTTTAGTCTCTTACCTGAGTTAAAATTGGACAAGTTAGACTGACACAAGTTAGACAGAACTGTTCAAGTTCTGTTAAAGCTGAAACTTGGCTGATGGATTGACATCCTACAGGATGTCTTGCTTTCACAGGCAGTCATTATAAAAATGCACCATTTGCTGTTGTTCTTAAGAACAAAACAAAATAAAACAACACCTTTATTATTCTTAGACATGTAGTTGTCAAGAAAACTTGGTCTCAGTAATTAAGGTAATGAATATTTTAACTGTTTTATCTAGAAAAGTTTAAGAGTATTTTTCTTTTCTAATGAATGATCGTTTATCACAGTCAAATTGTTTTTTGAAGTTTTAGTGATTAATATGTATTCTGCAGTCAGTCTATACATCTGCGTATCTGAAGGTTCTAGTATGTATTGTAACTGTTCTATTCAGTTTGAGGGGTATGACAGTAAAATAAGGTTAATGTTAGACTTCAGCACAAAATATGTAAAATGTTTGCATTTATAGAAACTCAGTTCAAGTGACAAACTGATCAGAGTTTTTATCAGCTGATGCAAAATTCACTGAACTTGTCTTTTTCTGTTGTTGGAAAGAGTGTGAAGTAATATGCTATACTAATACTTACTAATTGCTTTCCTTCACATTTTTTGTTTGGTTATAATCATGTATACCAGCTTATGTAACTCATTCCTTTGCTGAATGTAGTTTTTATTCTTAGGTGATAGGGGAATTTAATATACATTTTGTTGTTTTTCTCAATGTTTATCTCTCCACTTTCTATTTACATCGTAAAGGATGATGCTCGTCAACTCTTTGTGTTAGCTGGAGCAGCAGAGGAAGGATTTATGACTGCAGAGCTTGCTGGTGTTATCAAAAGGCTATGGAAAGACAGTGGAGTACAAGCTTGTTTCAACAGATCTAGAGAATACCAGCTTAATGACTCTGCTGCCTAGTAAGTACTATGTGACATACAAGGCTCTCTTTTGTTTTCTAAGTAGCAGCTAAAAGAACTTAAGAGAAATGTAACCTTTTAAATAATTGTAATTTAATAAATATAATTTAAATAATTCTGCTCCCACATAGATGGAAAACCTAGAAACATCTAGCCAAAGATATTGTATACTTGGATCAGAATGCTAGATGCAACTAAAATTCTGAGTTGTTCTCTTTACAACTGTTTTCAAAGTAACTTGGGTTTTAGTTGTAGTACAACGTACATTAATTTCCTACAGAGCTATTCAAGGGTGAAAGTGTTAATGCGAAGAACACTGGTAAATGTAGAACCATGTTGAAGTATAGAGCCATGTTTGCTTTCTGGGATTTCAAAATACTAATTCTTTGTAGTAGAATCAATCATATGAGTTTTCTTCTAGAATGAAAGTGTCTCTAAAACTTCATTTTAAGAAAGAAGAGGAAAATTAGATCATTTTCCTCTTAATCTTTTATCTCAGAGAAAATTGTTCATATAAAAGTAATGCATGGTGTAGTGAATAGACCTAGAACTTGTGTAATTTTTTGCAATTATCTAATTACTATTTTATGAATAACTGAATGCAGTATTTATTTTTACCTCCAGTTACTTGAATGATTTGGACAGGATAGCACAAACAAGCTACATTCCAACTCAACAGGATGTTCTCAGGACTAGAGTGAAAACTACAGGAATAGTGGAAACTCACTTTACTTTCAAAGATCTTCATTTTAAGTATGTAAATTGTTCTGTGTGTTCATCTGTCTATTAACAGCTTTTGTAAAGTTCTCATGGATGGACTTACAGTGATTCAATTTAACAAGTTTGTGTAATCATAGCTAATTATTTTATTATTTTTCTTTTTACTGGAAAATTCTTTGCTGCTTGGATTAGTTTTCTGAAAGCATATGGGAATTGTTTGAATTTCTGTAACAACTCAGAATAAATACGGCAATATTAAGTAATAAATGTTTTTGTTTTTATTTCAAGCTTTTTGGAAAGTTTATTTTCTGTGTAAATCACATTTTGAAATATTCAGTTTTGTACTATGTTAACATGTAGCTGTTCTATCAGATTTTTTCCCTTTAAATTCAGTTGGAGAGCTGGAGATTTAAAAATATTTGTTGCTCTGGTTATGAAACAGCAAATCCTTTTTTCTTGGAGAGCTGAGTAATACTTTATTTACTGATGTAAATTACTGTGAATAAAGTTTTTTCTGACACAGTTTTTTACCAAATAATGCTAGTCTTCTAACCATTTTGTGTCCAAAGACATCCATTGTGAAACTGTAGGGTAGTATAAATGTAACACTCTTGTATCTATTCTTTACTAGGAAAATGGAATGGAAGCTCAGTAAAATTCTCATCGCATATATACTTTAGATTGTGTGGAGATAGTTGTCAGCACATCTATACACATTCTGATTTCTAAAAATAACTAATTGAATCTCATCAAATGCAATTTAATTTACTTATCTGATACACCAAATCAGTAGGTTTTCTGTCTACCCATGTACATCATGGGTTCCTCCTCTTCCTCCTCTTACAACCTGAGGAAAGCAGAAAATCAAAGAGAAAAGTCAGTTTTTTAATAAATATGAGACTTTCCAGAGCCTCTTATCTTTTGAGATAGGGCGAAAGAGGTTACAAAAAAATTTGTCAAATAAGCCTTCCTCAAGTTTAGGGCCTGGGGAGTAGGGAAGCAATCAACTTGTATAACCTTAAAAGAAAAAAAATAACAAGAAAACAATAACAACAAGAGAACAAAAACCAAAAACAAGCAGTGAAAGAAATATCAAAAAGTACCTACAGTACCTACTGTCCTTTTGGCCTATATCACATTTTTTTTATGTGTGCTGGAGCTATGTTCTCAGCTTAAATAATAGAAGCAGAACATGTCAAATCTTGCAACGCTAGCTTCAAAAAGCATTGTGCTAACTTGTGCTTGCACAAGTCCTTAAATTTGCACATTTGCTGGTAAACCATTCAGAAACCAGCCCATACAACTAAGTAACAAAGATAAGTGTGGTGACGTCTTGAACAACCATCTGCAGTGCTTTAAGCTTAGTTCAGTGAAGTAATTTGTCTTAATATATTGACTGTCACTATGCGATCTTACCGGAAAATTCTGTATTATTTAAGTAAATGAAATGGAAGTTCTTTAAAGCATTTATTTAATGACATCATCCTTTAGATAGGGCATGTGGATTCAGCTCTTACAAACTTTAATTTTTTCAGTACTGCCTTGTATTTTTTTTGTAGTTCACTGTAGACAGTAACTTACTGTGCATAAGCAAAATACCTTTTTTTAGAGTAGCCAAATTGCACTGAGATGTTCAGTATTAAGGCAGAGGACAACCTTGCACACCGTACTCCCATATTGCGAGGAGGAATCTGTAAAGCATCCAAGATTCTCATTCTTTCAAAACTCTTTGAAATTTATCTGTATATCAGGCAGCTTCTGTCAGTGTCTTGGTGTGCTGAGACTGTGACTTACCAGTTCTCTGTGTTCACAAATAAGGCTTTCATGGTAGTTGCTGGCCAAAGTGGATGGAAAAGCTCTGTCCTCAGTTCTTCTCGTCTGTCTTCTCCTTCCCATGTTTTTATACTTACTGAAATTTAAGCTTTTTCGTGGTAATGCCTAAAAAAGTTAAGGTTACTTGGAAAAATTGCTGAAGACAAAAGTCAGGCCTCTATTAAAAGGAATAATTGCATTTCCTTGTAACAACAAGGAAAAATCCAATATTTGCATGGTAAAATGCTGGCTACCATAGCTAAGGAAGGCATATGGTGACCTTTTCACACTGTTTTTAAGCTGAAAGTAATCACAAGAATTTGAGACAAGGCTCTTCTTTGTGTGGTAGAAAGGAGACAGATGGAAAAGGGCTGCGTTCTGTTTTGTTGAGAAAATTCAGCTATTTGCATCCATTTTAGGGTAGCACTACTGTCCCCTTATTTGATTGCATTTTGCTGCTGCTGTTTTTGTTGCTTGGTTGTTTTGTTCTGTTTTTCATGACTTAGTTCTTTAAATCCAGAATACTATTTTTCTGGCTTGCGAAATACTTGAAGTTCAGTTAATTAAGATGTCTAATAAAACATTCAGTCTTTCAGATTCACTGTAGCTCAGATGTTAGGAAATAGTCCTTAAAGCATTTAGATAAGAGATAAAAGCAAATTCATGTGAACTATGCTGACTTGCTGATCCTCTGCTGTTAAGTTCTTGTGTGTGGTCTTTTCCTATCATGTTGTTTCTGATCAGCTGGGAATTGAAAACAAACATCTTTATAGTTTAGTTGTCCCATTTAACTGCATTTCCAAAGAGTTGCTTTATTAGAGGGGAAATTACTAGTCTTGTATGATACCTGTTTTGTCTTTTTAAGAAGAGAATGTTGAAAATAATACTTAGTGTCACTTAAAAATTCTTTTTAAAGGTAGTCAGCTGAAAAGCTGATCAAACTGTGATTTTGTTTAACAGAGATGAGCTGAAGCTCACAACAATTTAGAGACAGCTAAATTTGAAAAACTGAGAATTATATTTTATGTATTTGGATTTGGATTCAGAACACAGAGACAACAAAAAATATTATTTGAACAAGTTTCATAGAGTAGCATTTTTTTCAAGTACTAAACATAGTGAATTCTGCTCTTGCATTTAAAGAATTTTGTATTGTTGACTTTTTATTACTTAGGACTGTTCATTTGGGAAAAATATTGAAGAACTTCATGAAAGCTTGCATTTGGTTAAGTTAACTGTACTTTTATAGGTTGTACTTAACTTTGTTAATGGAATTATTTGTAATAATAGATCTTTTTAAAAAATAAGTAGATTTATATTGCTTTCATATCACTTGGTCAGGTTTTGTGAAATGTAAAGGAAGATTTCTAAGTCCTAAAAAACTTGAAGTTGTTTCTTACACTAAGAAATGAAATTGTAATAAATGTTGCAGATTTTATGCTGTTTTTCAAAGTTCAGGCTTGCACAGCTGATGTGTTCAGATTTTATCACTTAATATTCAGAAAGCTGGAAAATCCAAAGTTCATTTCCTGCCTCGTGTTTCTGTTTTGCAGGATGTTTGATGTTGGAGGCCAAAGATCAGAACGGAAGAAGTGGATTCATTGTTTTGAGGGTGTTACAGCAATTATTTTCTGTGTGGCATTAAGTGATTATGACTTGGTCTTGGCTGAAGATGAGGAAATGGCAAGTACCTTAATGTTAAAGAAAGGAATAGTTGTTAGGAACTAAGCGTTTTGCAAGGGAAGCTAAATGCCTCTTTCACAGTAAGAAGCTAAATACTTGTTTGATAGGGTACATGGGCTTTTTGTAAAAGTTTTCAGAGAACTGGTGATAGATTTTGTGCTTTCAAGTTTCAAAAATAATTTCTTTATTCTTGGGAGTTCTTTGAGATGAGTACTCTTCTGATGTATTCTTTCATATATTTCAAATTATACCTAAGCTAATGAGGATGTCAGTAATACATGTCCTTGTCTCTATGGATACTCAAAGTATCAAAGAAGTTGGTTTGCTTATCTGTCTCTGTGTTTTGTTACCCTTCCTCAGTCTTCAGTTTTTTGTGTCTTTGTAAGTATTTTACTCCAACCTCTTTCCTTAGTTATAGAAATCTTTCTTTTCTCTCTCTTCAAATTCCTTTCTGTCCTTTCTCTTCTTTCAAGATGTGACTCCTCCCACGTCAGTACATACAGTGTGTGTGCTTTTCATTTTCTGGGTAGTCTAAAGCGATGCTGATCTGTTGTATAAATCGTTAACAAGTTTCTGTTATTCCTAATGTTCTGCAGCTTCGTGTAAAATAGTTGGAAGGAAAGAAAAACAAAAACAGGGAAGAAAAACACTTTCAAGTTAAATCTAGTCAAAATAGATCATACCTGCCATCTACTTAAGTGTCTGGAAGTAGTGGCAGAGCACTTACATATTTGATAATTTTTCTACAGCTTCAAAATTAGGGTAACTTTTTTTTTTCTAATGAAACCCAACAGCTTTTTCATTTAATTCTCTAGCTCTATAGAACTACTAATTTTTCATTATATTGGAATCTTGACTGTGTACTGAAGTTCATTGTCAGTTTTCAGAATATCTGATAAATATCAGGCAATTTCTGATCACTCAGAGAGTTTTCTAGAATATCATTATTGCAAAATGTGAAAATGCACTAAAATTTCCTAACAAACTAAAAAAGACTTAAGCCTGGAAATGGAGAAATGGCCTTCAAGATCATCCAGTCCATTAAATTTTATTTGGCCTCTGTATATATCTCTGTGGTAATATGTGATTCTGCATACTGGAAACTTAAGTTTTTAAACTTTTCTAGTTGTAACTAATCAAATAGATTTATCCTGGTTTTACTTCTAAACTCTGATAAAATACAATAAAGTCTGTTTGTTTGTTTGTTTGTTTGTTTGTTTTTCACCCAAATTACAGAATCGGATGCATGAAAGCATGAAATTGTTTGACAGCATCTGCAACAACAAATGGTTTACAGACACTTCTATAATTCTTTTCCTGAACAAGAAAGATCTTTTTGAAGAAAAAATCAAGAGGAGTCCTCTCACTATTTGCTACCCTGAATATGCAGGTATTGGAAATGGACAAGTGTCAAGTAATTTGGGGTTAAATTTATCTTATTTTTGATTAACAAATTCAGAGGAATTTGATAACTGTAGGTGTACAAAATATAAAAATAAAGTTTAATTTCCTAGGAAGATCTTAGGAATCACGAATAAAGGAGTACTGAAGTCACATTAATCTTCTTAATGAGATTAAATGATGGTGATCCACTGATAGTGCTAAGATGTTACTGTCATCGTGCTTGTCAACCTACTCTGGTTAGCATGTTCTTTATTCTGTATTCTATTCTTTTCTGCTCAGATGTTTGTTTTTTTTTTTTCCCCTAGCAGGAATCCCTGAGGATACATGAGAGTTTGTTTGAAGGGAGCATATATACATAGATATTAGAAGAGGTGGCTCGTTGTGGAAATAAATAACAAAGAAGAATTTTGTTTAAGAGGGCTAAGGCCTTTTGTGTATCATTTTCGTTGTAATTTCAGACTGTTCTTTGTCTGAGGAAAAGAAAAACTGTCAAAAACATGAGAAGTGAAAGGGAGTAACTTGAATGAAGGAATCAATGTAATAGTGATAAGTTGTTAATGAGACTTGGTCCATCTACTACTCTTACAAGTACTCTTCGTAGAGCGCTCTTTATTATTAAAAATTTGTCCAGGTTTCCTTCAACAAGATATACATGGTGTATTGTAAAGTAGTGTCTGTGAAATTATTTAAATCAACAAACTCCTTTTTAGGTTTTAGTGATTGTTGCAGAGTAAGTATTTCCTTCTAAGATACAATATACATTTAGTTTTTAGTTTAGTTTTTGAAATCTGCTTACTGAGCAATTTTCTCCTTCTAGGTTCAAACACTTATGAAGAAGCAGCTGCTTACATTCAGTGTCAGTTTGAAGATCTTAACAAGAGAAAAGACACAAAAGAAATCTACACTCACTTCACATGTGCCACAGATACGAAAAATGTGCAGTTTGTTTTTGATGCTGTAACTGATGTCATTATTAAAAATAACCTTAAAGACTGTGGCCTCTTCTGAGAACAGACAAGACATTATTAAATGGTAAATTATGTGCCTGAAAAAAGGACTTAGGCATTTGGAATAAGCCCATGTTGTGTGAAACTTGCATAGATATACTTAATTCTCTTTATTTTATTTTTAGGTTTGAAGAATGGCTTCACACAATTCTAATCTGATTGATTTCAAGATGAAAGATATACAAAATATGTTGTGCTGAATGATAGATCAGTACTGTACTTGCCTGTTTTAACAGCTTTATTTATGTTTGTCTTGTAAATTTAAGTAATTAGGTAACACTGAGATGTCTTTTGACTGTATGTAAACTTGTAGTAATGTATTTGTATAAACGTTGAATGGAATACTTTGGTAACTTGTCCTCTAAAATTTCTGTGGTTTATGAAGATACTCTTAGAGGAGACTTTCTGCCTTTTGGTTATTTAAACATCTTGTAAAATTAAATTTTCTTTTCATCTAGAGGGTGCATGCTACTTTATTCTTTACTTTTTGTTGGTAATACTGTATATGGCACTAGCTTTTTTGATATTTAAACAGCTTCATACACCTGCTCAGATTTAAAGAAACATAACTAATAAAACTTGGGGGGTTTTTTTGCCTTAAGTTTTGGGAAAAAAAATTTTTAAATTTAGGTTGAATACAGAAATTATTTTTAAAACTTAAGTGAAATCCACAGCTTATGAAATCTGGATTTTCAGTCTTTGAAGTGCAAATGTGACTATATTGAAAAACTGAATTTGAAGGTTGAAATATCATTGAAGCTCATGGAAATGCAAAAAGGAAGTTGTTAAAAACACGCTTGTAGAAATAAAGAGAAAGTTTGAAACTAATCTTTACTCACTGGAGTGAATGGCAATTTTTTTTAGACCTTTAACAAAGGCTGGACTTCCGATTAATCTGATTTCTTTCTGCTTAATAATTGAAATGATATTATCCTTTAACTCTTTGCTATCTTGTGGTAATAAAGCTAAAACTAATTTGCTAATTTAATAACCATAGAGGTATTAGGTTCTCCCACAAGACACGGCTCAGTGTTTTCATAGTTTAAAGCAGTTTACTGTTGTTTTTTAAAAAGAATCTTCAGTATATTGGGTAGGGTGACTCAGTGACTTGGAAGATGCTGATTCTTTAATTTAGTTATGTTTAAAGTCTCATACTTTCATTTAAAAATAAGTTAAAGAATATGATTTTTTTCTGGTTATGCTTTCATTATGTGATTTGGGATTTTAGGTATATATCATCCATTGCCTTATGGTTAGTGCCAAAACTGATTTTTATACCTATTTTAAAACGAATAAGCTTCTATTTGTAAATAAGTTCTTGGATGGTTGTCTTAAATGTATGTCTTCTACATAATACAGACGTACCAAACTTGGAAATATGATTTTCTATAATTGTTAGTATATTCCAGGCAGCTACAGTACACTGTAAGTTTTTTGAGAATGATTCTTTGAATCTGTTGCTATTTTTCTATATTATCTTAGCTCACTGTTCTTAGAAGCTTTCAACCAAGGTATTCAAATCATTGTTCTGTTATTTAATTTTTTATCGCATGAATGTTTCATTAGGCCTTAGCTTGATTAATAGCGTCAATGCTTCCTTTGTTAGGTACAGAATTACTTAAACGTATTTCAAATGAAAGTTTAGAAAGGAATTTCTAATTTATTACTGGAGGTTGTTAAATATATTCATACATTATGAGCTCTTTCAGCAGTTGTAGTAAACAATCTGTATATCCTGGGCTGCTTTTAATTGTGCTTTACAGTTCTGGATACATAACTGATTTTAAATTTCATTGAATAACTTTGTGAAAATTGTATTTATGCCTACGTTAAACTTGGTTTTTGTACTTGATGTAAAACAGAAATTGGGATTAATCAAATTACAAAAATAAATCTAAATTTTGTGCCTTGCTTGAAAGAAATTTTCTTCCTTAGACGTGGTGCATCCATCCTGTAGACACAACTACATAGTAAAACAGAGAAGATAAAAAGTCAAGAGCCAATTCAAATCTTTTATGCCAGAAACAAAAATGAGCATAAACTTAAAACTGTTAGCTAATTCCTAAATGTTTTTTCTCAACCACCAATCCTAGCATCTTGGATTTCAGATTTTTAGAATTTCCTAACTGTTGATTTCTTTAATATTAACGTCTTAGCACAGAACAAAATTGTGAAATAGTTTTGTTTTAAGTCCAGGAATATGAGCTTGTCTTTTATAACTTGATGAGTTGACACCTGCTATGTTTCCTTATAGGTGCCCTGTAGTGGTCCTTTGTTTAGGTTTACAAATACATATAAAAACTTTTTGTATTAAAAGCCCAGTAAATCACTGATCGCATCTGTCCAAACTTTCCAAAACTGGGTTGCTGATAAAAATTGATTTGTTATGAAGGGGTTTTCAGCTTAAGTGTATTAAAAATACTATGCTAAAAAAGTGTTTTTAATTTTTTTTTTAAATATTCTAAAAATTATCTATACTGATAGCAAGCACTTTGATTTTCTTCTCAATTTGAATACCTTCATCTTTGAGCCAAATGAGTTCTGCTAATTTTGTTACCTAATAAGACTGCTAATATAAACCCCTTCTTCTTTTCAGGTTGTAATTAGATGATAATTAGATAATTCTAATATGAATTTTTCCAGACTTTCGACTGATATATGACTTTGCCTGAATTTATGAATTTTAGTTATATACTTCTTTAGTATAAGTGCATGGTGCAGTGGACTGATCTACCGTGATCAAAAGTTTCTGAGGATCTTGTGTAACAGAGTTGATCTTTCTTTTTTGTCCTGGGACAAAAGTTTGTCATCTTAACCTATTTGTCTAGGCAAAGCTACAAGAAGGCTAAAATGCAGTGGTGGGAGCTACATGCTTAGCTTCCAATCTAATTGTTATATTGTTATAGGGCTCCACTCCATCTCTGCTTGATCAAGAGGCTCCTTCTCAGTTATAAATAGCCAAAGATGAGGAAATCCTGCTAGTCTGGGGACAGTCTTGTGCTTCAGCAGTCTGAGCCTCTGTTCTCTTCCAGTTCTTCATTCCTTGCATTTTTTCCACTCAGAGTATCCTGACAAACGACTTTTTCTAGCAGTACCCAGGGAACCTCCTTCTACTATCTCAGAATATTTCTTAAAATTATCTTAAATTATTCTCAACACGTACAGGGAATTGCAGCCTGATGAGGGTTCTCTAACGCCAGGATCTTGTGATCACATTGTGAATTGTTGAAGTCTCAGTAAAACAGAGGCATTTCTTTTTAAGAAGGTCATTTGTGAGGGAGTGGGATTTTGAACATTTGGTACGTGGCTTTATGATGCTACCTACTGAATTTGGAATAAGTTTGTCAGCAAATATAATAACTTTGGTAACCAAAACAGGGTTCAGTGTCAGCATGGAAACAGAGTAGTTCGCTGAATTTCAGTTCCTGTTTCCACGTACACAATTAACATCTTCATTATTTAAATTCTACATAAAACCTGAGGGGGGAAAAAAGATCAATCTGCAGCCTGCTGAACAGCATGATTCAGCTGGTAAGCATTTAGAATTGGGAAGAGTGAAGAAAGTTTCTTTTTCAAATCAAGCAAAAAGGAAACCCTACCAAGACACTGACTATCCTACTGTGTGGAAGTCTCTTGAAGCTATCGTATCTCATATGAATAATTAATAGCCTCCGAGTCAAAGAGTAATAATAAAGTTGAAAATTTCAATTCCATACCTCTTTCATTTCAACAAAATGTTGCAACAAGAAGTTGTAAAAAGCTCATCCTTGGATAGCTCAGAGCTTGTGAGAGTGCACTCACAAGGAAGATGAGATTGGATGTTGAGCAACTTACTTACCAGACATTACCTATAGCAGAGTGTGTCTGCATTTTTCACAAAAAAACTCAGTTGATGTTATGGGCTGTGAAAAGCAGAAATCAAGTTGCAGAAGTGGAAAACAGTATTTCCAGCTCTGCATCTACAGGGTACTTGAAAAGCAGCTTCTTTGACAGGCAGAATAAAAGATGATTAAGACCAACTATGTTGTCAGCAGAAGTCACTGCAGCCCCACAAAACCAGCTGTTCCCAGCTCACTTCTTTATTCTCTTTCCTTTCTGTCCATTAATAGAGAATTTTGGGAAGGAGTTTTGCTTTCACGCTCATGCATTGGTCATGTGAAGACTGTGCATAATGACTGTGGAATGTGCAACAGTACTGAAGGAATACAATGAATGATTGGTGTGTTTAAAACTGCACATATGTGTATTTTCAAAAGCGTGAACAAAAGTCTAGGAAACAAACCTGAGCAAGACAAGGATTTCTGAGTGTAGTTTAGTTTCTGAAGTCAGACACAGCCAGATCAGATGATTGTGCAGTGTGACACAGCCCATACCTTTTACAAATAAGTGTCCTTATAACAATATAGTTTTAATCCTGCATTCTAGTAAACATGTTAATGGTAAAGAAAATACATAATTTGTTAGATACTACACATGGAAACGTGAGTGCATTTGGTTGAGTTCTAAAGTGGCTTTTAGACTCTGACAGTATCTTTCCTAGCCAAGTTATGTTGCTTTGGCTTAAATGTCTTCAGCTTAATTCTCTATGAAATTGTCAGACTTTGGATTTCTGACTCTAAAGGATGGAAGAAAGTCATAAACTATATCATCTGCTGAGACTAAGAGAACATTTTCAAGATGCAGTCATTGAGGCATAAAAGACTGGGGTTCTGAGAGCTGTAAGGAAAGTACTCTGTGATGAACTTCACAGCTGTATCCAATATTTGGAGAAAGCAGCTTTGGGAGAATGATGTGGCATAAAGTTGCATCTGCTTTTGTTGAGTGGAGCTCTGAGTGTGAGGGGATAGGCTGAAGTATGTAGAGTTACGTACCTGTTTCCCAGATGAGGTTGTCAGATGCATGTGCTTTAAAGCCAAGGAAGCTGATCTTATAAACCCTGAAGAAATGCCCCTTTCTGCATTGCGCTCTAACGTTCAGGGTATTTTTGAGCCTGAAAAGTTTTGAGCTGCCTGCTACCTGTGAGGGACGTGTCACTGCTGGCACTGATACTTGTTTAGGGCTTCTCTCCAGCTTGCCAGAACTGTGCAGTCAGGAACAAAGAGCAACTCAGCAAAAAGCAGTACACAGAGGGCATAAGAGGCCCTTTCATCTGCTGCAGGGGAAGCGAGAGGACACTCCCCAAATAAGTGAGCGGAGATTGTGGGGGGAGCTGCTCTTGTGATTCTTGATGAGTCTTTGAATGCTCCCAAGGCTTAATGCAATTTTACAGGAAGTGATGGCAGCAGGAGAAAGTTGGTGTTTAATACACTGTATCTTGGAACATTATGTCCTATCCGGATTCTTAGCCCTTGAAGATCAGTTTTCTTCTAGCTAACAGAAAGTAAATTGCTGATGCTGTATAGTGTGCTAGTCTTACACAAGTTTCTTTCACAACCAGAATTTTTAGTGGTATAGAATTACAAAGATGATCTGAATGATAAATCCAAAGGCTGTTAAATGAGTTGTGTAACATTCTAATATTTAAAGTGTGGAGATAAGTGAAATACAGTATCTTATCCTTCATTTTTCCCCCACTAATTCTGTGAAAGGAGGGTTAGTGGAGCACTCAGAGGCCTCAGTGTGAGCATTCACAGAATCACAGAATCACAGAATCACCCGGGTTGGAAGGGACCTCAAGGATCATGTAGTTCCAACCCCCCTGCCTAGCAGGGCCACCAAACACACACATTCAGATCAGGTTGCCCAGGACCCCGTCCAACCTGGCCTTAAACACATCCAAGGACGGGGCATCCACAACCTCCCTGGGCAGCCCGTTCCAGGGCCTAACC